TACTAGCTGACTGACATAATCATAGCCGTCCCAAGGGGGGGGGGGCAAATGGGGCAAGTGCTCTAGGGCTTCTAAGATATTATAAATTTAGGGGGCGTACTAAAAATGAATGATAAAAAGAAAAATTTGGTGTTTTTATTTTAGATATTATTTTTCTGTTTATACTGTAGATAATATCAAAGATGAGTACCTATCAAATTGTTTGATATTAAATATAAAATTATGTAAATAATGTGTTAAATCTTAATGCGACATAACTTCAATAATATATTCAATATTCATAAAAACAAATAAAAATATTAATACTTATAACTTATAAGTTATAAGATTACAATAGTATGTAATTTATTTACATAAAATATATTTTAAATATGTATACACATCAATAAATTATGTAATATACTTATAAACTAAACTAATTCATATCTTTAATAGAATTAAATAATATTTTCACTTGAAAAAGATTTTTTTTTCTGGTTTTGTAATCGGCAAATTTAAGAAAATCGCAGTTTGTACAGAAATTACAGAAACCATTTTTAATTATAAGCAAAGCGAGGTCCTTAATTGTTGTGTTAAATAATCCTAATTTAATTTGCATGGTAAAATATGGAGAAATGTAATCATTATTTTATACAGGGTGTTGCACAATAAATGTGTCAAACTTTTAGAGGTGTTTCTACACCTCAAATGGAACAAAAAAAGTCCTTAAAAAATAATTGTGGTTAGATAAAACTGCATTATTTTTAAATTTCGACATTTTAAAGTTTTTAAACATTTGTGTTATTATTTTTACCCAAAAAATCATGTGGGAACCTTGTAAGATATGTTTTCCTAATCCCAGTTTTATGAGCTTTTCATCAATGTATTCAAATTAATTGTAGTACCTACGGTTGTATTTTTTTGGGGTTTTTTTTTGGTCAGCGTTAAGTTCTTTGTTAATTTTAAGTGTTTTCAATCGTTCGGCCAAAAAGGTACCTATAACGTTCTCAATCGTTCTATAGCCGTCTCAGAGCTATTTGAATAAATATTATATCGGACACCGACGATTATTATATCATATAATATTCTATAGTGTTTATAACCTAACCTATTTGGCCCCTGCGACCCATTATAATTCCTGATATTAACGTATTCAAAAAGAACCAACTATCTTCACCTTTATAATATTAGTATAGATTATATATTTATATTATTATAAATAATAATAAATAATGTTTATATTAGGCGTGTTTTGGCGGAGTAAACTGTTTAGTAAATAAGTTTATGGTTATAGAATACGGTTAGAAAACGTTTACTGGAACGCCAAAACGATTAAACGTTTGATCTGTTTACTGAAATATTTGATAAAACTTATCATAGAAATACCGGCATACAAAATACAAATTATCACGTTTTTATCATGAACTTTTTAGTAACCGAATCTCAGTAAACCCTCTTACCAAGTCGAAATCGACGGTTAGAAAATTCACTAAACACGTTCACGAAATTACGAGTAGTTACCTAGTTACAGTAACCGTAATCGCGAAAACGATATCAGTAAACAGTTTACTAGCGGTTAACGCCGGTTACACCGCCAAAACACGCCTAATATAAACGATAATAATAACTCAGAATGGCACAAATAAATAATAAACGATTTAATTGACGGAAGAGATTGATTTATTTTGCAATGTCAATACTGAATACACATATCATTATAATTAAAAACAAATTATAAAATTATGGCATTTTTGAGTTTGAGGTTGATGTGGACATGAATTAACAGTTCTGGAACAAAACAAAAATTAGTCGATCAATAAAATATACTAAAGTATAAAAGTATAGAACCTTGGTAGAATTAAATAATAAATTCTAAAAAGGTTACAAAATTCATTATACTTTACGATGTTGTAAAAAATATATTTTAATACAGATAAGAATACATCGATGTAGAAAGTATTTCAAATACATTCCAAATACTTTTAACTTTTAAGAAACAGTTTTTAAGGATTATTCGTTCTAATACTTGGCATATAATTTTAATTTAATTTATTTAATTGTGCAAATAGGAAAATTAATTAAGTAATTAAAAATATAAAGTTGTGATGTCAAATTCAAGCTATTTGAACGTAGGTACGTAGGTATACGTAGGTATACGTAGGTATACGTAGGTATATACTATCAACGTAGGTACTTCATTTGAAACTTAAAATTAAGTTTAAAATTGAAATTAAATAAAAATTTGTTATACCTAATTTAACTCTAAAATAATTTAATATTAATTAAACAGTAAACATTTGTTAATAAAATATGAAATATTAAAATATATAATAATTTGATTTTAATTTATAATAAATAACATAATACATAATTATCATAAAACAATCTGAACTGTGATAAATGATTCTTTGGAATTTTTAAAAGTATTTATATCAAATTATTTTATTTTAATATACAATTATGACCATTACTGTATTTAAATACTTCCAAATTCTTAATTAAAAAAAATATTAAGTAATACTATAAAAGTAATGAAATACATTTACCAAAATACTTTATGTTTTTATATTTGTATAGCTTATTATGAATATATTGTGTGCAAAAATATTTGATATTTTTTTAATCAATATAAGTTCTATATTAACAGGTAGATAAAATAGATTTTCAAGACTTTTATCAAAGAATTAAAATATGTGTTTAGTAAGTTATGATTACAAATTATATAAAATGATTATTTATATAACAACAGTCGTAATTAGATTTGAAGAATAATTAAAAAATATATTCAACAAACTTATATTAGTGCTTATCCAAAAATTGTATGAAATATGTGATACGCGATATAAAAATCAATTGTTATATTGTTATCCACTATTATTCGAAATTTAAAAAAAAAATCACAGAATTGTGAACTCACCTTCAATTGGCTGGTGGCTGGGGTGGCTTTGGCGATCGATTTGACGGCCTTGGCAGATTGGAGTTGCCCGACGACGACGATGTTCATTGTTAATTTTTCAGCGCCCATTTTTGATTTTTGGTTGGTTTTTCGAGGAGTTGAGTGAAAACTGCAAGTAGTCAAAAAATAAAAATAGAAAATACGAATGATTTAGAACAATGTAAAGATCAAAGAAATTTTATTTCTCGTCGACTATATAATATACTCACAGAAGATTATATTTGAACAAAAATTGCGTTATGCCGGAATATGAAGTATCAATACTTCCTTTTATACAGTGCAGTGTGCTTTCGTCTAAATAGTGTAAGCTATGGCGTGGTGGCGTGAGTGCCTGATCATACTCTTGAAGGTGATTCGTGTAACTGATATCGGACGATGTCAAATCTTGTGTTTTACTATTACACTTTGAAAACGTATCCTTCGTGTAAACGGATCAAATATTAAATTATATTTGATCCGTTTACATCTTCTTTTAAAATTTGTCACTAAATTGTTGACAAACATTGAGCGTTGTGTTTTCATAATATATTCCTATTTTGGTTAACGTCTACAACATGCGCGTTTAGTAATTAACCTAAATCGTAAAAATATTTATTAAACTCTAAAAATATAGATTCATTTAGAAGAAAGCCCATCAAAAACAATTACTTTATGGGCTTGAAATCAATTACAAGAGCCAATTTTAAATATCAAAAAACATCGTTAAAAATCAATTACATCGAAAAAACTATAGTGGTGAGTGCAATATTGTTAAGTGTTATCTACTATTTATTAAAACATACTCGTTTATACCTAGTTGTTTTTATTCATTACTAATCCAAATTGTTTGACTTAAAGTTTATACGTGTCATACCAAGCATAAATTTAGTAACATTTCGTTATTTTGGGAGTATCGTTGTAATCGGAATATCGGATAGAGACTCAATATAAGAATCTGTAGTTGATTAAAATGTAATATAAAAAAAGTAGTAGTAGTAGCAGCAGTGTAGTTTGGGTCACTGTAATGGATAATTTAAATTCAATGATATAGTACGATTGTATACGAAATATGTTTCTTAAAAAAAGCTGGTGTGTTAGTCTATATTATTACAAAGTACCTATATTTTATAATATTGTTGTTATTAAAGTAATTATTATTTTAAAATTACCTAAAAATACAGTAGGTTGAATTAATTATTGCAGAAAACACAGAATTTGAAAATGTCATGTACAGTTATTGATTTAATGCGAATTGAATTATTGCGTATTAGGGAGAGGGTTTATATGCACTGAAAATATCAAGATTAGAGGTCGAGTAAAATTTTAAGTTAATGCGAATGTTTTTTTAGTCCATGTTTTATATTTTGTATTCCATGACCAAAACAACTATAAAATGTTTTCTTAAAATTCCCGTGAAAAAATGTATTCGCATTAAAACGTTTACATGCATTCCTTAATCCCGGAGTAAGAGTTAATTCGATTTGACGAATCGAATTAAATAATAAATGCGCATTTGTTTAATGCGAATTAAAAATTCGTTAATATACACCCAACTCCCGCCAGTCTCCCTGATTAACTCAATATGCATTGAGTTAATACGCATTAATGACTGCATATAAAAGTGATAAATATACCATTTTGATACAATTTAATAAAAGATAAGGTACTATATGTTGAAATCGAAGCACTCCTTCTGGTAGAAATTTTGTATACAGGATATAAAAAAAATAAACACCATTGTAAAACCATTATAGCTTCCTCGCTCCTCTCAGAATCTAATATTAAATAATAACACTATATATTAATGCGGTATTTTCAAAAAATTAATTTCGTGTTCGGGTCGTCGAACCGAAAACGAGTAAAATAGCGAGTGGGTTGCCAAGACGCATAGTGTGGAAAATCAGCAGACATAAACAAACAAACGAATTTCCACAATTTAACAACACGAATTTTGGTGAACAAAACATTACCGTCAAAATTTCATCACATATATCGACCGTCAGTGTTAATAGCGAAAATCCAGTGCACCGGACCAATATATGCGTACTTACTCTTTATACTTACGAGCAGCATAATCGACGGCAAAATGTCCGTTACCGGAAATAATCTATTCATGTTGGAGGTGATCGTGTACCGCGTCACGTTGACGGATCAGATCCAGATACACAACACGTGTCCGGTGTGTGTGTGCTTCCGGTTCCCGGGACTGGTCGAATTGGCGATATGCGAGGGCGGCTTTTGCGCCGACGGTAAGGTCGGTGGGGGCGAAATCCTGATGACCAACGGCAAGTCGTGCTTGTTGACGGTCAGCACGGCGGACCTTTGCCGGACAGCCCGCGACTTTTGCGCGATCATCAGCGTGAACAGGCGAGTGCTCGGCGAACAGCAAATGCGATATGTCGCTCAGACGAAGCTCGAGTTCGACCGGACATTCGTCGATGTCATACTGAACCCCATCCAGGATCAGAGGTCCCGAAAACTGAAAAAGGTATACATTCCGAGTTGTCATAATTTATAGGTTATGTTTTATTATTCTGCTTATTCGTTACCGCACGCCAAGGGTCGTATAGTTAACTAGGCACGGTGTGTGATATTAAAAAAAATTATAAAAATGTATTGGAAGTTAAAATTGATGGAAGTCGCGGTGTGTATATAGGTTTTGCCGCTCTACGATAATGGCCGTCAGCATCCCGTGGGCACCGTAGAAGTCTTCGTCCGTTTGACTTCGCAAGGGGATTTAGTGGTCACTCATTTCAACCGGGCACCGGATAGCGATAAATATCAGTACAAAGCAATAAACGAATTCGTTCCTACACAATCGACGATGGATTGTACTGAAAGAATAATGCTTAACCCCAAGAAAATATGCAAACACAAAACTTCGTGTAGGAACAAACGACCAAAGGTCAAGCAAGGTAAAATCATATCCGTCAAGTATATTATTCACTAAACGAATACTTTTATTTTAATGAATTTATATATTAAGTTTGTCGCGTGAACAAGGCGATGATTTTTTTTACACACATTTTTAATTATTAATAATAGTAAATTTAGACGATAACTAAATATTATACATCTATATGTATATTATATAGGTAGATGATTATATACCCATACGGAGTTTCATTAGACACTCGTTAACATTATTTTACGTTAAATGGACCACCCTGTAAATGTATTAGAGACGTTTATTTTGGTAGATGGATACGTTATTATTTATTATTATATGTTCGAAAGACAAGTCAATATTCATTCATTTTTGGCAGTAAGGTACGTACTATACAGCTACGTGATAACATTTTAAAGTATCGTGCCAATGTGACTTGTACCCACTTGAACTTGGTTTCGTTTATGGGCAAGAGATTATGATCAGCTGCATTGTTGGTGGACAGTGATAAATTCAAATTAAAGAAAGTGAATAGCATATAGATATAGACAAGTAGGACGCGAAGCAGTCGTGCGGGTAACGTTTTGAAATTAATATTACAAGTCGACCAGGAAAAAAAGATTTCGGGTCTTCAAGATCACAAGAGTTTGATCGTGCAGTACACACTTTATACTTGAATATACAGAGAGATGTCCATAGAATGTCAAATGAACGAAACATATACAATATATATTATACTATTACCACTGAAAATTAAAATATATTAGTAGCCTGTATAGTAGTAGTAGTAATAAAACAGTGAACAACTACCTTGTTCACTGTTTTATTTTATTTTATGACAATGATGAATGTTTAGTGTAAGTAAAATGTATAAAGCTTATTTAGATAAATAAAAGATGGCGGCTCGGTGGGAAAGCAAAGCAAAGGTAGCCGTCCCACGAATCTGGCGATGCGATAAGATAAAAATATGAAAAAAAAATAGTAGTAGTATAGTAGCAGTGTAGTTTGGATAATTTAAATTCAATGATATAATAAGATTGTATACGAAAAATGTTTCTTAAAAAAAGCTGTTGTGTTAGTCTATATTACTAAGTATATTTTAGGATATTTTTGTTATTAATGTAATTTATTTTTCAATTACCTAATAATACAGTAGGTTGAATTAATTATTGCAGAAAACAGAGAATTTGAAAATGTCACTGTGTGTATAAAAGTTTCTAGTATACCCACGAATACTATTTTTTTTAAACTAGGTACTTACATCAAAATAACTGAAATCGTTACTCTCAGTTAAAATATAGAATCTTGTTTTAATTTTAAAATCTGAATAAAAAAAACAGTGTTTATATATTTTTAGATAATTTTGTAACAGTACCTATATAAATTACTTATTTTGCGATTTTGACGAATTTCGTAAAAATTCTAACTTCAGAGTCTTATAAAAAATGATTGTGGATTTATGATAGTTTTTTATTACTCTGTAAATCACTTATGAGGAACCTTGAATTAAGTTTTGTTTTCATAACTTTTTACTCTGTAAAAAATGATTTATTTCCAATAATTAAAAAAAAAAATAAATTCGACGTAATCTCATGTCTATACATCAAACTCAAAAAAAATCAAACCATTTCGAAAATTTTATAACATACAGAAAATTTTTATAAAACCAGTTTCTGAAAATTTCAGGTTTATAATATAATTCTATACTATATTATAGTTGTTAGTATTCCTATTTTGAGTTACACCAACAAATTGAAATACATTTTGTCAAAAACAGGTTTTATTTGTTTTCCCGACGCTTTTGAAAAGTACTTTGAATTTTTCATTTAAAGCTCCCAAAAGTACCAAATAGATCCAATTTTCAATCAGAAACCCCCCTCGACGTTTAAAATCAAAGCATTATTATTTATTACTTCTTATCGTGTACCTAAAGGCTATAGAAACATATATATAAAAAAAAAAGTTTTCTTTGCCGAGTGCCAACTCAAATACCTACTCAGTGTAAATATGTTCTCTCCTAAACATCAAACACAATAAACTCAAAAAATGTTGCACCCGGGGACAAATCGCCGTCATCCCCCGATCCGCTCCACTCCAATAGATCTGTCAATGCATCTATAAATAGGCACCTGATATCACATTTTCGTGATTGCAGATCCCGACAGCTATTGCGGCTCGGAAATGAAACGGGCCAACTGCGTTATGACGATGATGGAAAAGTTGACAGCCTTATACAAAGAGGTGAAGACGATTTCACAGCCGCAGGGCGGCGAGGTTGACGCTGACGGAGATCAACAGGGCAAACCGTGCATGTTCGACCTGAACTGTCCGGCCTCCCGTTGCCCTTTCAGGACGGGACAAGCGGCGAACGCTTTCGTCGGCCACTTGATCGACGGCACCCGACCAGGGAACGTTGGGTCGTCGAATAACCGGTTGAAGAACCACGAAATCGTGGACGATGCGGATTTGTTCATCCTGAACGTGGGTCGGGTGGACCCGTGCCGGGTGGTCGCCCCCCTGGTGTACAAGGACGGTTGCTCGCAGTGTTTTGAAACAGACTTTTCGACGGTACTGTTGCCGCCGCCGCCACCAGTTCAGAAAAAGATAAAAAAAGGCAAGAAATCGAAAAATTCAAAAAAAGGCAAAAAGGCGAAGAAATAAGCACTAGGCCGGCTAGCCGTCTGTGAATCTATATTATAAACACAAATTTTTTAACAAAATTAAAAAAAAAATTATATCTTTTATTCCGGAAATATTGTTTTGAAATGACATAAAATTATGTAAACAAAATTACAACTTTTTCGAAAAAATTAGTGGACACACTTGGACAAATGGATTCTATTAAAGTCATTCATTTTACTTGTAGTTATACAATAATTTAATTAATTTTTTCCGAAATTATTGCATTTGAAAATGTCATTATTGCATATTGTATAAAATATAATGATATTATACTGTAATTATTGTGGGTGAATAGAAACAATATTTAGAAATAAGATTCATTGACCAATGACTATAATCGAAGTGTAATTATATTTATAAGTTGTAGATGTAATACATTGGTCATGTTGTGAAGAATCAAATTCATTTATAACTTTTTACCTCCAAAAATAATTAATGATAAGAACAAAATATATTTGACTAAGAAATAAAGCACACTTGGCCGCAATGTTATTATAGGTCTCACTATCATTTGATAGGCAGACTTTTTTGAATGAATATTTTTGGGTCTGTGACTTTTCGTGGTTAGGTTTTTGTTGGACACAATTGCCAACTTTTGTTTTGAGTTATTAGTATTTTGATTTTTGATTTTGCTCGAGTTTATTGTGGGGAGTCTCAAATTTGGACGTCATACATTCAAATCGATTTTAATTGCGTTTTTTGGTGTGTTGTTTTTATTATGTATAATGTATATCTATACTATATTATATAGTGAAAGTTTTGATTTTGACTTTAGATCATAATATAAATCCAAGATTAAAAACAGTAACTTGAATTATGATTACTATAATAGTCTAAATACTGTATCCATAATACGACCAATGAAGCGGTTATTCCATATTTAATTTAAAATTCTAAAGTCCACGGGTGAAGTATTATTATACTCTTGGTGGAAAATACAATCTAACGTTTTTTTTTTTATTTTGTAGGAAACAGTGCGGCTTATAATAATATTATGGCCGGCCTTTTACATAACGATCACTATCGCGATATTGTTTCGCTTATTGTGCAGCTATATGGTCGCAGCAATTTTGTATGTAATTTGCTCTAGAAACAACCCCTCCAAAAAAAATATATAATATGTAATTTGGGCCACACAAAACTTGATAAAAGGGTATTAATTAATCTGCGCCCTACAAAAATTGTAATTTGCAGCATTGTTCACCTTATTAAAATTGTAATTCACGCCACTTTAAAATAACTAAAATTAAGTAAACAAGTTAATTTCAATAAAAAAAAGGTGGGCAAGTGGGTGTCGCTCTGCTGTACAGTAGGTTACAAGTGGGTCACTGTATAATGGATGGTATTAAATTTGAATTCAATGATATAATATCATTGTATAAGAAAAACGATTCTGAGCGGTGATGGTATGTCAGTCTATGTATAAGGCATATTATATACATATCTATGGTATTAAACAAAAAATTGACCTATAATAGGTACCTATAATAAATTCCAAATTAATCATATCACAATATCCATTAGATACTTATAACGCGTTATACATCAACAAAAACCGTGATACTATCATAGATATATAATAGTACACTTTAGAAGTTTCAAGTACCCACGAATAATATTATTCAATCACAACAAAATAACTAAAATCGTAATTCTTGGTTTAAATATGAAATTTTGTCTAAATTTGAAATTAAAATGTCTGTAAAAAATAAGTGTGTTTATATATTTTTTAGATTTTTTGGTTACAGTATGAATTATTTAAGAGAACCTTTGTTTTAAATTTTCAACTCTTAGTTATAAAAACTGAACATTTTATAATTTTTTAATTCCAACGATTGATAATTTTCGAGATTTTGATAAATTTTGTCAAAATTCCAACTTTAAATGCTTATAAAAAAAAACTGTGCCTATGTATTTTTAATATTTTTCAACTGCTATTGTAACAATATATCAGGAGCCTTGTATTAAATTTTTACACTTTTTGGCCCAACAGATAAAACTTTATTGATATTTATAGAAAAAAAAAACTAAAAAAAACTCAAAAAGAGTCAAAATATTTTCAAAATTGTATGGTGTATAGAAAATGCTAATTTAAACATTCAGTGAAATTTTCATGTATCTACAGTTGTTCGTTTTTGAATTGCAACAAAATAAGGAAATCGCTACATGAGTAATCGAGTGAAAATCCAATGTTGTAAAAATTTGAATTTCAAACGCTCATAAAAATTTAATTTGACTGTCCGGTAGAGATTTTTTTATTGATAAAGGTAGATAATCTTATAAGGAATCTTGTGTTTCATTTTCAAATCTTAGATTTAAAAAGAAAAATTTTTACGAATTCTTAACTCAAAATAATTTGCTAATTTTCGTGATTTTTCCATATTTTGTCAATTTTTGAACTTAAAATGCTTATAAAAAAAAATTGTGACTAAGGATTTTTAATATTTTTCATCTGCCTTTGAAACAACATATTAGGAGCCTTCTATTAAATTTTCAAGCTTTCGCAACCAATAAATAAAATTTTATTGATATTTCTAGAAAAAAAAAATGGAAAATGAAAATGTCCCTAAACAGTTCAAAATAAATCAAAATATTTTGAAAATGTTATCGTGTATAGAAAATGCAAATATAAACAACCAGTTAAAATTTCATGTATATACGTTCATTTGTTTTAGAGTTACACCAATAACCAAAATCGATTTTTTGGAAAACCAATTTTGCGTATAAATTCCCGTTTTTTTCTTAATTTTTATGTTGTTTTTCCCGACGCTTGTGAAAACTACTGGGAAATTTATACTTTTGACCCCCCAAAGTACCAACTAGATTCACTTTCCTACCAGAAAAGCTACTGATGAAGAAAATCCAAGCACTTTTACTGTCCTAAAACGTGATGACAGACACAAAATATAAAATATAATAAAATATAAAAAAAACATACATCATTGTAAAACCAATACATTCATCGCTCCGCTCAGAATCTAAAACCAGTAATATTATAATTATATGTATACCTACTGGCTACTCTATGTATATTAAATAAAATATATTATTAATATTTTTGCGATTAATATCGGACTAACAGACTAACTGTAAATATCATGATACTATTGTTGGATATTTTGACAATTGATAATTTTTATTAGATTAGACGTACCTAATTGATCTCGTTTCTACTTATTATTAGTAGAACACAACAATATTATATCCGGCATGCGTTGGTAATATCGTATTTCCGATGCGATATCCGTAAATTTATCTGCTGCTACTGCTGGTAAATGCCAACAATTAAAGTTGAAAGTGTGACGCAGATTACATATTATTATTCCATTTCGTTTTCTGTCGTGGCGCAAATTACCAAAACGAATTTTTAACATGTGGTGCAAAATACATGTTTAATTTTTATATTTTGGCTTAAATGTACCTATATTGGTGGAGCAAATTACAAGTAATTAAATTGGCGAAAAATACCATCTTCCGTCTTGTGAGTGTAGCTTATGCGTACGGCAGCAGCTACGTTTCGGCCATACGATAAGGTAAAATAAATGAATAAATCTTGCAGATTATCAGACCGGGATGTTCCCTTTATTCACACGGCGCCAATCACGAATACGGACGCTATTGTATGAATTGTGCGATATTATTCTTTTCCGTCTCGTCATCGGGCTAATCGCCTATAATTAAAATCGTATGAGCTGTCGGACGATTACTTGTACACTAAAGATTTCTTCGTTTAAATATCCTATATTATTATATGATGATGGTATCCGGCCTATTTGGCTTTCGATTTATTTTTCTCTCGCACGAAACACGCAAACGACAATTTAATCTTTGGTATATCGTTTTTTTCACAAACACGCATAATATTGTAAAATTAACGTCTCGTTCGTATTAAAGTGCAAAGCGTACATATAATTATTATAATACTATATGCGATCTCGCAAAACTTGCAAATTAGTCCCGATGGTGCAATGCTGCAATAGGAAGAATATTTGAAAAAAAAATGTAAGATTTTAATGGTCGTAATATTATTCGTCACCTATACACAAATTATGGGAGGTGTCCTCTGCCCGTAGTAGGTAAAGCTAAAGCCTTTTTATAAAGGTCACGTGTCTCAATTACTTTTTAAAATTTTTCGGATGAATTGTTTTGTCGTGTCCAAGCGTTGTACGGTCTCTCTAGATTTAAATTTCTCCTTTACCCTTTAAAATGTATATAAAACGATAGATATGTACCTATTATATTATTACAAAATTTCTATTCTACGAACTATTCACGAAACAACAAAGCGTGATGGTATTTATATAATATAATGTGCCTGTATACAACAGAGATGGACACATTTTTATTTAGATAATCGACAATAATTGCAAGTATCTATATTATTTGAATACATTGTCCATAAATTGTTCTAATAATTGCCAAACAATCATTCTAATAATGAATTCTAAACATAACTATTTTATATATTTGAGCAAATTTGACATATTTTTCTAATAAAATATTATTATGTTTTAAACAATGAAATAACTGAAAATTATTGGAATCATTATTGTACCTATTTAGATAAAATTGTATTCGTATAAGGTCATAATATATTAGAATGATATATTTCGCTCTTAACTTTCTAATAACGAGACCACGAGAGTCACAATTTGCTAAAAACAGTTTCTTTATTTGACTGTTATTATATTTTATTATGCCTTCAAAGAAGATATGAGCGAATTCGTTAAAAAAAAAAGGAACAACTAATGGAATTAAATCATTTTATACACCTGCCATTTGTTCAAATGTAGGTAATTATCATTCATTCATATTTCATTGTATAGTATTATATTATAAAATAAGTTCTAGACATTGTCAAAGCTGAAATGCAAATATGTACTTTATCATCGCTTGAGTATAGACGCAGGTACATAGAAGCCATGACTTTAAATATTTGAAGAGATCATGACAGTAAAATCTATTACATCTATAAGAAG